ATATATGAAAACATTTGTGATGGTAAATAAGAACAAAAGTGTTTACTAAGAACAAATATTTTAATTTTTTTTTATTTTTAGACTTGTCTTATTAAAGTCATGGCAACACAGTGGGTTGAAATTAGATTTGACGTAACTTAAAGGATTGAGTGATATAATACATGGAAATATATCACAATATATTTAATTGCGTGAATATTTCGCACACACATTACTATATGAATGTGAATGACTATGTAGTACATATATAGTTACATATATAGTTATACAAATATATTTATACACACGGTAACACTTTATAATAATGTTCAGTTGTAAGTCATTTATAAGTGATTAGTTAATGATTAACTAATCTTTTACAAATCATAATTGTGTGTTCATAAATGATTAATAAGAGATGTTAATATTTGTATCTATGTTTTATAGATTAAGTTATAAATCATTTACAAGTGATTAGATGATGATGAACTAATCGTTTACAAAACGACTATATGTTCACAAATGATTATTAACTAATATGCTAACGATTTACAAATCTGTTGTAAGTTATTTAAAAAAAATAGCATATCATGAAATAATCAAACAGATCCTTAGTAAATGGTTAATAAGTTACTAGTTAATATATTATTAATCACTTATTATTCATTGAAATGTCAACATTGTACTATTGTCTCAATAAACATTTGTTAATCATGAACAAATTATGATCAAACCAGTAGTAAATGATCGGTATATAATTTGTATGTTTCGTTAAAGTTTTAAAATGAAAAATTAATCGCTTATGAACGTTTTGTAAATTATTAGTTCATCATTAACTAATCACTTATGAATGACTTACAACTGAACGTTATTACAAAGTGTTACCTTGCCCTCTGAAATTTATATTATAGTCACGATGATCCGCACTAACTCAGACGATAAATTAGTCTTTTCAAACAAACAGCAAGATGCATTATTCATTTCCTTGTTGTTTACACACAAAGGCAAGCAATAAAGCCATTACTGTTGCACATGCTCATATAATTTCACTATTGACTAATTTAGCTGAGGGCTCACATGGGTTAGTGCTTTAATTATGATGGAGCCACTTTCTCTGCACACCCAAAAACACAAAGTAATAGATAACTTGTCTTATCGACTTGAAACAATTTCATGTCCTTTGGTTTTGGATTCTTTTCTCAAGCGTTATCCCATAATTTGTGGCACAAACTTCACAGCATGACAAAAGGTGAAATTTCAGCTTATTTGAAATTTAAAATACCCTGATTATTGTGGAATTGTTTCATCCCCACTGACAGATTCCATCTGTTACTCCTTGAGGAGTGACTGGATCACAGGGTGAATATGTGTGAAATGTCACAATAATAATCCTTCCCTCCCGCCATGACTGATGAGCGGCTACCCTCTGTCATTACGCATTCTGTTCATTTTCCCTGTCAATTTCCATTCATTTTTCTCAGATGGGTCCAGACACCGGTGGTTTTTATAGAATCATGACAGCCGCAAATGCAAAAAAAAAAAAAACATATTGAATGAGGCGTGTGGATGCCACCAGGCTATTTAAATGCATTTTTTTCCATCTCAGCCTTTATTATTGTATGATTTGTTTTGGTACTATAATTTGAGACTCAGTTTTGTGTATTTATAATGGCATTGTGTGTCGCTCTTGTACTTCTGTCCCTCAGTAGCAAAACAAGCCATTCACACTGAGCAACAATGATAATCCAATATTATGTAATGATCAGCAGCTGACAGAATCACAAACAGTGTAACACAACACAAACTCTCTCTCTCTGAGCTTCCATGTATGTTTACATATATTGCAAGGGACCTTGGACCATTTTCAGGCCAAGGACCTGTTTTTATTGTATAAAAAGTATTTCAACATGCATAAAGTACCAATAGTAATATATGAACTATATATTAAAGACAATGAAAGCCTTGGCTTCTTTACCTTTGGTTAAATTTGCATGAATATCATATATACATGTTTGTAATAATTATGATTTTTAAATGTTTTTTTTTATGCTCACCAAGGCTGCATTTATTTGATCAAAATGCAGTAAATCAGTAATACTGTAAAAAATTAATATTAATATTTCAGTATATTTTTAAATGTAATTTAATCCTTTAATGAGCACCAATAATAATTGAGCATCAAATCACCATATTAGAATGATTTCTGAACGATTATGTGACACTGAAGACTGGATTAAAATAGAAAACAGTTATTTTAAACTGTAATAATATTGCACGATATTGTGCAAGAAATGATTATTATACATAATATTATAAGCAAACTAAAACCACATTTTGGCCCATGTATCTCCACAAACCCTTATGTTTATTCATGCTGTTACAAAACCGTTCCCTGAGGGCTGTCCAATGACATCCATAAACTAGCTGAATACTTGGGAGGATATCAAGTGAACTTTCTGAAGTGAGCTCACACTAAGCCTGAGGACAAACTGTGCTAGTCGCGATTATACTGTTGACTGATTAAATGCTCTCTCTCGCTCTTGCGCTCTCTCTCTCTCTTTTTCTCTCTCCAGCACAGAATCAAATTAGAAAAGCTTCATTGGTGACACAAGCTGTAGGAGTTAATGTTTAAAGTTTTTTGGCTGGATTTAGACAATCTGTGAAAGTCTTGAAAGTGATAGGATATAGTGAGATTACATGCCATGAGAGGCCACTAGATTTGTCATTCTGGACAACACAGAGGCTCCAAAGAAATTTGAAAATATTTAATGCCTTAATTGCAGTTATAAACATCTAAAAAATACAGTTTACCCAACAATGAAAATTCTGTCGTCATTTACTCCCCCTCATGTCATGGCCTACTATCTTCTGCAGAACACAAAAGATGATGTTGTTAACCAAACAGTTTTACCAGTGCATTAAACTGCATGTGAAAATTAAATGAAAAAAAAATACATGCAATTTCTTCAATGAAGAGTAAACCAGCACCAAATTGTCTATTATTAGCAAATCTCCGACGAAAACAAATGCCTCCTAATCCATTTTCCTAACGTCATCTGTCCCTCAACTTCACGCTCTCATCAACATTCCTTCCATCTTTCTGTTAACCCTCTGTCTGAACTTTCATTCCTCAATATTGTTGTTTATGCAGAGATGATGAACACCCTCAGGACATGTGTTGACTGTCATTTTCTGATTGACAGCTTCTGACCCCTCTTGCGAGAGTGCGTTTGCAAATCACGGCAAATTGCTGTGGATGGCAGGCTGGAGAGAAATAGATGGAGAGCACACGGAACGAGAGAGGAAGGGAATGGCTATTTCAGGGAGCGAGTGTCTGGAATGCCAGCTGTTGACTCAACCACCCGCTCTCTCCCTCCGTATCTCTCTCCCTTTCCTATCTTTGAGTCTTTGTCAGAGCCCCTTTCTCAACCTCAAACCCTCATCACACAAAACTTTTCCGACCACAGAGCCCCTCTCCCTCACACTATAATTATAGCACACTGTCATCCCACAATTAACACACACACACATAGAAGTAAAAACTCTCAGGCTAGACCCACCATATAAAAGACAGTCAGACAGACCGCTAATAGAAAGAGTGAGAAAGGTTCTGAGGCTTGAGAGTGGATTCATACAGTGTTTTGAATAAGGACGGCGCAAAATTACTTCATTTATAAACTCAGTGCTCACTGTATCACTTCAAAGCTCTGACGGATATCGATTTGAGGCAAAGAAACTGTCTAAACACCAATGAGTGCGACCAACTCTTCTGCCTATCGATCGGAGCGCAGTTTCCACCAGACATCCTCCTCATCTTCATCCTCAACCTCAACAAACCCATACATGGAGAAGAGCCGGGGACTCTTCGCTGAGGACTTTGGATCTTTCATGTGCCCTAAAGATGCTTTGGGATTTCCAAGTGAGTTATTAAGCCTGGTTCCATTTCTTTATGGATCTTTATAGCCTAATGTAAAATAAACTGCGAATTAAAAATGTTATTTGTCTTTAATGTGAATAAGAATTTATTGTTTACTTTCACATTCTAATTACATTTTCTGTACATAAAATAGTGGATACTGACTTTACAATGTCTAACTGCATGAGGCCTGAACATTTATTTATGTATATACATTTCAAGACTGCATAAGACATTTGACTGTTTGTCTGTGTGGTATGTGTATGTCAAGGCAGATATATTTTATATTCACAGTTGCATCCTGGTACGTGTAGAAGTATGTGTAAACACAACAGATTGTTCAAATGTGCTATACAAGGGCACCTGGGAGGCAGAGAGAGGGTTAGGGAATATTTTGGGCAAGAGCCAATGCTGTGACTTCACTGTTGGGGAATGATTTAACAGTGCAAGGGCGGTCTGTTGCTGAGCGTAATATATATGGATATGAAGTGCTGGATTCACCAAGGCATATTTTCACACATCATTAGAAAGGGATATTAATGCACAGGAATGTCCATTTGTAGCATAATGGTGCTTGTGTAATGTAATTGAGAGTATATGCATGAGATTTAATGAAATCTCTGGTGGTCTTAGGCCATTTTAAACAGAAATATTTTATGTTGTGACTTAATCAGATTTTATGTTTTGTGACGTAAATAGAATTTAACAAACCTTGGTGACTTTTATGGCACTTTCTACATGAACACACACACAAACACACAAAATAATGGACAGAGCAATATTCTGTACAATCTACAAATAAGCCATATTACAGTAGTTTTTGATCATGTCTATACACTACCAGTCAAAAGTTTTTGGACAGCAAGATTTTTAAGTTTTTTTTTAAAGAATTCTAAATGCTGATCTTTCGATTTTTTTATTCATCAAAGAATCCTGAAAAAAATGTACTCAACTGTTTTAAATATTGATAATAATAAGAGTATGTTTGCAAATCACGGCAAATTGCTGCGGATGGCAGGCTGGAGAGAAATAGATGGAGAGCACACGGAACGAGAGAGGAAGGGAATGGCTATTTCAGGGACCGAGTGTCTGGAATGCCAGCTGTTGACTCAACCACCCGCTCTCTCCCTCCGTATCTCTCTCCCTTTCCTATCTTTGAGTCTTTGTCAGAGCCCCTTTCTCAACCTCAAGCCCTCATCACACAAAACTTTTCCGACCACAGAGCCCCTCTCCCTCACACTATAATTATAGCACACTGTCATCCCACAATTAACACACACACACATAGAAGTAAAAACTCTCAGGCTAGACCCACCATATAAAAGACAGTCAGACAGACCGCTAATAGAAAGAGTGAGAAAGGTTCTGAGGCTTGAGAGTGGATTCATACAGTGTTTTGAATAAGGACGGCGCAAAATTACTTCATTTATAAACTCAGTGCTCACTGTATCACTTCAAAGCTCTGACGGATATCGATTTGAGGCAAAGAAACTGTCTAAACACCAATGAGTGCGACCAACTCTTCTGCCTATCGATCGGAGCGCAGTTTCCACCAGACATCCTCCTCATCTTCATCCTCAACCTCAACAAACCCATACATGGAGAAGAGCCGGGGACTCTTCGCTGAGGACTTTGGATCTTTCATGTGCCCTAAAGATGCTTTGGGATTTCCAAGTGAGTTATTAAGCCTGGTTCCATTTCTTTATGGATCTTTATAGCCTAATGTAAAATAAACTGCGAATTAAAAATGTTATTTGTCTTTAATGTGAATAAGAATTTATTGTTTACTTTCACATTCTAATTACATTTTCTGTACATAAAATAGTGGATACTGACTTTACAATGTCTAACTGCATGAGGCCTGAACATTTATTTATGGTATATGAATTTCAAGACTGCATGAGACATTTGACTGTTTGTCTGTGTGGAATGTGTATGTGAAGATATGTATTTTATATTCACAGTTGCATCCTTGTGTATGTGTAGAAGTGTGTGTAAAACACAACAGATATACAAGGGCACCTGGGGGGCAGAGAGCGGGTAACATAGGGAATGTTTTGGGCCAGAGCCAGTGTGGTGACTTCACTGTTGGGGAATGACTTAACAGTGCAAGGGCGGTCTGTTGCTGAGCGTAATATATATGGATATGAAGTGCTGGATTCACCAAGGCATATTTTCACACATCATTAGAAAGGGATATTAATGCACAGGAATGTCCATTTGTAGCATAATGGTGCTTGTGTAATGTAATTGAGAGTATATGCATGAGATTTAATGAAATCTCTGGTGGTCTTAGGCCATTTTAAACAGAAATATTTTATGTTGTGACTTAATCAGATTTTATGTTTTGTGACGTAAATAGAATTTAACAAACCTTGGTGACTTTTATGGCACTTTCTACATGAACACACACACAAACACACAAAATAATGGACAGAGCAATATTCTGTACAATCTACAAATAAGCCATATTACAGTAGTTTTTGATCATGTCTATACACTACCAGTCAAAAGTTTTTGGACAGCAAGATTTTTAAGTTTTTTTTTAAAGAATTCTAAATGCTGATCTTTCGATTTTTTTATTCATCAAAGAATCCTGAAAAAAATGTACTCAACTGTTTTAAATATTGATAATAATAAAAACATTTTCTTGAACAGCAAATCAGCATATTAGAATGGTTTCTGAATGATCATGTGACACGGAAGGCTGGAGTAATGATGCTGAAAATTTAGCATTGTCATCACAGGAATAAATTACATTTTAAAATATATTCAAATAGAAAGCAGTTATTTAACTTTTTTTTTTAATATATATATATATATATATATTTTAAATTATTATATATATTAAAAAAAAACATTAAAAATCTTACTGCCCAAAAACATTTGACTGGTAGTGTATATATAATAAAAGCAAGTAATTATAAATTAAAGCCAGTAATTATGTTCTAATATATATATATATATATAAAAATGGTATACAAATAAATGTACCTCTGTTGAGTGATCAATAAGTGAGGAATACCCAAAAGATTATTACTTTAATTATAGTTTCATTCACATAGAATGCATTTATATATAGAATAAAGTTGTCCTTGAAGTTAAAAAAAAACTGAAGGGGGAAACATGGACATGGAATTTTGATTTGATCTGATGCAATTCTATATGCTTGACTGTATGTTATTTTATGCTTCCGCTAATTAATCAGGACTCAGGAGACCATTAAGGTGCGGTAACATTAGTCCATTGTCTATTATCAATAATGTAGCGAATCAATTTATGAAGCACGGCTGACAAAGAAAGTCACTTTCAAACCAAGCAGCTTTTTGTTAGTAAACGTGGCAAATGCAGTGTGACCAACTTGAACCCATGGTGAAATCTGTGCGGGGAAATCTTTCACCCTTGCAAAATTACCGCTTGAGTGGATTTGTATTGAAATGATTGAAGTTGGCCTGTGAAAATTTGCCAAACAATGGTACATGTGACCAAACCTTTACAATGTTGGCTATAAAACAATCTGCCTAGCAACAGCAGTGCAATACTTAACAGTAATAGGCCAATTAATATTTAAATCCCAAACATCTGTTTTTTATAAACAATATAAAATTGAGATACAAGATGGCACCAGTTGCGTTTGTATGAAAGAAGAGAGAGCGAGCTGGCAGTGATCCTATTACTGAGAGCCGTATAATAATATTAGATTGTATTTTTTCCTTTAGACAGAACAGGGACAGCTGGAAACATCAAGACTCTGGGAGACACATACCAATTCACAGTGGATGTCCGAGACTTCTCACCTGAGGATGTGATAGTCACCACCTCAAACAATCAGATTGAAGTTCATGCTGAAAAGGTAAACAGACACGGGCCTCGGCATAATACAAAAGAATTTTCATAATATCACTTGATCCCTTATGTATGCATTATTTATTCAACAGCTTGCTACTGATGGAACAGTGATAAACACTTTTACCCATAAATGCCAGCTACCTGAGGATGTAGACCCCACCTCCGTGAAGTCAAGTTTAGGGGCTGATGGGACTCTCACTATAAAAGCACAGAGAAACACTGCAAAACTGGAGCACGCACAGACGTTCCGCACAGAGATCAAAATTTAGATCTTTCCTCTCCTGCTGTATCTGTTTTCCTGTGATAAATGACCTTGATAATAGTTACTTAGTCCTGCTTTGTCATTCCTCCATGACCTTCTCTCATTACTTCTCATTAGACTTGGGTGGAATTTAATCCTGTCACATGTATTCGAAACATTTAAGACAAATGCACTGCTAATGTCAATTTATACAAATGTTTGAAGTTCATGTAGCTTGAATGCTGCTGTCATGAAATCAACAGGAGGACAAACCAAATACTAAAATATTTTTAAAAAAGTTAACTTTTCCCTCAAACATTTTGCTGAGAATATAATTTGAAATGCATTGAAAATCATTTTTAGGAGTAGTTGTCTAAGACTTTTGGAGCTTGTTGTATGACAAACTATCAGAAGAGAAACCTATTCATTGAACTGATTGTTATTGTTATCAAAAGGTATATTTTCTAACTGTAAAACTGTATTGTGTTGGGTGATTTAAACACTATTTTAGAAGATAATAAAACCAGAACACCTTTGATGAGTATTTTGGGCTTGTGAGTCAATGATTTGGGTCTTGTCCTCTTCCGTTACATTTGACATCATGAGCAAGTGACAGGTACTCTGTGAGTACTTCTTCTAGAAATAGAGTTGGCTGTTATTATTCAGTCTTATCATCTACTATTTATGAGCTTTATGTCATCCATCAACCTGTCACTGTGTTGTATCACATACAAATGTATGCAAATAAGCACCTGTTATACATTTTAAGCAATTATTTCTTTACAGTTCTTTCGAAATCAGCTAGTCTCAAAGCTTAATCAGCTAAAAATGCCCCTTTAACCCCTTTAAAACCAAAATGGGTGACCAGCTAAGACAAGAAAACCAGCTGGTTTAGATAATGTTTTCTAGCACTTAAAGTGTGTGTTATATGAACATTACATGAGTTTTAGGCTTATTACAGATCTGATTTGATTGTGAATTGGGAACATAATGACTTAAACTCATGAGCTTAATTTATAAGTACATCCAATTATCTAAATAAGAAAAGAAATAGGCCTGCCATTTTTGCCCAAAGCTACATAATGGTTTTTGAATGGATTTGAAACCATATTTTAATATGTAACTCGTGGTGGGGTTTAAAATGCATTAAAAACCCAATTTATAACCTAACTGTGTTTTATTTAATAAATACTTCCTCACTCTGCTATTATGATTAGATCAGTGTGTATTTAATAACAGCCAGAGCCATAGAGAGAGAAAGAGTTGCGACAACTCCGTTCACTCCAATGGACCAGTTTTTTACAGCAATGGCGGATCGTGGAGCCGCTCAATA